ATCAATCTTCCTGGCGGGTAAAACAGCTGATCTGTGGTCCGACTTCCTCTCTTATAGAGGTGACAACGCTACGTCGCCGTGAATACGATGACATCCTACATAAAAAAAAATGAAAGGGATACTGTTTGTAATATCATTCCAAAGGCGACCAATGCAATTTACCTTTAGTATTAGAACTAGTATGTCAGTGAGCGTATTGCAGTAACAATTTTGACAATACAATTCGATCTTTATAAATAATAGTGAATAATGGATAATAATAATCATGGTTAGTTCCCTGGAGCCATCCGACGATTTCCACAGTGATGCGTTTGCAAACTGACAATAGAGACCCTATTCCTATATCCGCTGCCTGATTTGTAGCAATACAAACTGATGATCATACCCCCGGTACGTTTCGAACAGAACTAATTAATTTCCAGCTCTTCCAAGAAACCTGTCTATTTGTCCTGATATCTTCTCCAATGTAATTTACGACTGCAACAATAATAACAACACCAATGAAAATAATGTTCAGTTTTGCGTTTGCAGCCACACCGTAGTGAGTCAAGCTGCCTGATGAACGGCTCTACTTTAGGCAATTATTATTATTTTTACGTATTCATTGCAAGCAACATTGACCAGAGCTGATGAACCTCATGAACTCAAATCATGAATTGGCCAGTTCTCCGAAATCTGTTTCTCTCTCTTCCTTTCAGCGTCGTCCCCATTTGCGTTGCTTCGTAAATGCAACGCGATTAAAATGCCAGCTGAATCGGCTCAAGCGGGTTAGGCATCGCGCAACGCGCACACCCTCTTGGGGCGCCTCTGTCTTACCGCCAAACCCGTCGTAATCTGCTTTGTTTTGCGCTGTAGTCCGCCTTTTGCCCCTTCTTACCTAATCCATCGTCATCAAAGTTATTTTAGAGTGAGTCGAGAAACAACGAGTTCAACAATTGTTTTGGTCTCGTTAGCCTGAATATGTTAGATTCCTGTCGTTCGTTCCGTAACAATATTTTCATCACAAATATAATGTACCTTCTACGTGTGTATCAGAGAAAAGATATGCCGTTTCTCGCTTACTGTCAACATTTATTTGCTTTTAGTTCCATCTAGCCGATATATGCTCTTTCGTGTGCGTACCTAATTTATGCAACACATCTTCTGCCCGTAGCCTACTCCGTGAACCAACGACGATGTATGTATACACGACGAATGATTCGGTTGAAATTGCAATGTATCAGAGCTAAACGTAAGAAGGCTTCGAGTACAGCCGCCAGGCTGGCCTGTTGTCTTATTGTGTAGCTTAGGGCGAACAGAAGGAACATCACTCGTTAGTGCAGGCGATATTAAGAGGCTTTATCGTAATAATTGATCTATTAGTCTTGTCGCCTGGAGCCCCCACAGCAGTAGCTTCTTTGGGTGACCATAGAGTTTCGTCTCTGGTTCTTTTTTGCATATCCATGAAGCTCCTATGGGATGGCTGGTAGCTTGGTTTGTTCAAACCGAAGAACACTTACTCGTTCTGTTGGCGTTCGGCAAAGTATCGTCACCCCCTTTGCGTTCCTCAACTGATCCCAACCGCGGGTCGTCGACTACTGCTTCATTTGGTCCTGCCGCATCTGTTGCGTGTCCTCCCCCGTCCCCTGTTCCCCCAAACCAACTAACCCACCCATAGTCATTATGGTGTTGACCCATCATTCGTCTCTGTGGTTGCTGGATGTGCTGCGCCAGCTGCAATGTCTCAGCTTGATTCCAATGTCCGACAACCAATCGAGCAAGCAACTGATCTCATGTCGCTTATTTTGCTGTTTAACACCGATCGTTTGCTGCGGAGCGCACCGCAAGCGTTCGAACGAGAGAGCATAGCAGCAACAGCGATGACTGCTGCTGGCGCTATGACGCTGCTGATGACGGCGCCGTATCGCCGCCACGGTTTGTTCTATCGTCCCATTCCGTCGTTGCCGCCGCGACCATTCACTGTTCGCCTGTAAGTCCGTTCTGTGTCTGTCTCCGTCTACTCTCATGCTGGCGCATCGGCTCTAGAAGGAGAACTGCCAACTGCTGCAACAACTACTACCACGTTTGCGTTCTGTACGACTGCTTGTTGGTGTCGGCGCTGTAGCTCGCTGGTTTTCCGTTCCCGCATCGTTGGTTGTCATATCTCTCTTTCGCTCTCTGTATGCGCGTCCGTGTCGGTGGATAACAGTGACAGTGCGCGGTCGCTTTGGCTGTCTCTTCCCACTTAGTTCGGTTTGGTCCGGTCCGCAAACAACGATTGAGTAGTTGTAGCAACAGTAGTCCGTAGTCTGTCTGCTCTGTTGGCCTGTCCGCCTCGCAGGGCCAAGAGAGTCGTGCTAGAATTGAACGAGCGCAGTGGAGCCGAGCTTGCTGGGCCTTCGCTCGCCGCGCCTGCTCATCAAGATGCCATTGATGCGCTCGAACGCAAATATAAAACTTCGCGACTACCATTGCTACGTTGCTGCCACCGTTGCTAGCAGCGCCATTGCCCGTAGCGGCGGCGGCGACACTCGGTGATGCTGTTGTTGCCGTTGCCGTAGTTGGCTTCTGCAGGGGCTGCCACTAGTTTTTCTCGGAGCTGATGTTGTTGTTCTTTCGTCTTGTATTTGATCTGGCTTTTCTGGCTGACGTTACTTCGGCTACGCTGGCTATCACCAGTGTCATCTTCTGCTGCTGTCATTGCTTCTTTCATCTTGTCGTGGCAGAAGTGACGTCGATCGACTGCAGTGCCCGGCTCCGGACTAGCCAACCATCGGAGTAGTTTTCTTTCTGTTGAGTCTACTCGACACCGGACTCTACTGTCGCTGACATCGTATGATGTGCCGGCGGATGATGGTAACGATTCGACAGGATTCCAAAAGACGAGTTAGAAGAAAAAGAAGATGCTATTGGTCTCCGCTTTCTCTGCAACTAGCCACAGCGTTCGTGGCGCGACGAACTTCAGTCCTGGCAATGTCGATGGCAGTGGCGGACGGGGTTGAGCAACGTGAATCGCCCGTCCGCTGTTTCGCGCGCCCGCGCGAACCCATTTTGCAGCGGGCAAATCTGCGAACGAATGGGTATACGACGGACGACAGGCGAAAGAATGAAGGAATAAAGCCCACAACAACCGCAATAACGACGGCTTCGCTGGTGACTAAAAGGAAACAGACGAAGACTTCGCGACGCAAGCACCGGCCTGTTCCGCCGGTGCGCTGTGGCAGTCCACAGAAACGGCGGACTGATTCTTCGGTTCTGTTTTTTTTTGCTTCTGCTGCTGCTGCTGCTGCTCGTTTCGGCTGGATGAAGAGGCTTTTCTCTCTAAAGGCGAACAACGCGAGTCGATCTGCTTGTCGACTTCATCCGTCATTGACTCGTCTATATGTCGCCGTTTTCGGTGTGTATCCGTTTGCGTTCTAGCTAGCTTAGAGCACTACGTTGGCGAGCTGCTGCTGCTGTTGTCTGCTGACGTGCAGCCCTTACCGAAGGCGCTTGTTGAGTATGAACTGACTTCGCCCGCTCTATTGGGCGGTAGATAGACAACAGTTCCTTGTCGTTAGTTGTTTGCCTGACTGTTGCTGTGCGCCGTGCTGTAGTACTCACAGCCGCTATCATCTTCGTCAGGGAGGTTCGCCAGCAGGCGCCGGCGCCGCTGCCGCCGCTGTTGCTTGGCCGACAAAGAGTGTACTTGAGAGAAGGTCTACGTTGCTGACCGAGTGTGTGCATGTATGCATGTTTGAATCTTTCCGTCATATAGGAAGAAAAGCCAAGAACAGCCCGATGACTACTAGATGGGCACAAACAGCAGCAGAAGTGGTTCGTTGTTTTTGCTTGGTGATTCACCGTATTCGCTTTTCTAGCTGTTACGAGACATGTTCTAGCTGAGGAGATGAGGTTCGTATGTATTATGTTTATCAGTGTCAGCGCGTTTACGCGCAGGGCTCTTTCTTTGGATACTTCACTCGATCTATTGCTTCTGCGGCTCTTGCTGCTGCTATTGATGTGTTTGCTTACAGAAAAAAGCGCGCGCTACGTCAGTACGAAACTAGTGTTAGTGTCTGCTTGCGAACTTCCCCTCGTTCGTATACGCAATAAGAGGGGACGATTGAGACACGAGATGGCTGTTGGTCTCGACTTCGGAGATTTGCGGATCTGACGGTTCCTTCCAAATCTGTCTCTATTCTGGCGCTGATTCAGCTGATGCTGCTTCGTCTTCACATGTGGCTCATGTTGCGGCTCTTACTACAGCAATTGCGCTATATGGATGGAGATGGCTCTAAACGGACGAAGCTGAAGTTGGGGTGACCAAAAAATAGTGGCAAGGATGATAATAGGAAAGATAAAACTATTGTGAAGATAAAGAAGATGGGAAGGGGGGGGGGGGGGTAAGAAGGCCAGAGATAAATAAACGATAGAGAGAAAATCAGAAAGCAGAGATGGATGACAAGATAATGGAGGTGATGCGCTTAACGGACATGTAGTAATGGGACGGGCACCAGACGAATATGAAGTCGCACAAGTGGGGTACAGACGAGGGGTAACCACATGGCATTGGACCCGATTTGGTGGTTACATTTTATTTGATATGGTTGTGCGGTGACTATGTATAAAAACGTCATTACATTCAATCGAGCAGGCTGGTCTCTCCTTGGTGATCTGAAACCAGTCATATAGATATATTATCTATGCACACTTTATTCACAAATACCTTGTACTTTAGTTAGAGCTGTAGAGGGGCACGTATTCTGTCTGCTTGTTATAACAATTATGGAATTTACCAATATCAGTCTTTTCACTAGCGTTAATCTAGCTTCGATAAAACATCTTTCCTCAAGGCATCTTTCAACAGGATATAGAGGATATGCAAGCTATTTCACTCTGTCGATGGCTCAAATATATTTTAAATGTAAATGTCCATAACGTGAAAGTATGTTTCGGCTTTATTCAAGTTAGCATAGGTCATAATAGCATAGTTTAAAAAAAAATGTACGAACATAACGCTTTTGAATTTTCGATCTTAGGATGGTCGCGTTGACGAAACTGGAAGTGGCGGTCCAAATGAAGGCATACCTCAGAGAAGCGCAGCTTCTCCTGCGTCCAATCCTCCTCGGTCCAGATCGATGTCTCCATCAGGCTATCCTCGTGAGTACCGTCGAACTATATTTGAAACGAGCCAATTTATAGGTTCCTGGTTTGGTACGTTTCTTTGCACGGATACAGGGCTGATTTATGCAGATATTTTGTAAATTCGTAAAAACGCATCCGTAGCGTTAATATAACAAACTCCATCGAAAACTTGTGAATAATGCAGGTGTTGTCATATAAACGATTGAATGCATATTCATTTTTACAGCAAATCATGGAGGCCCCCTACCCGATGGATATCCAGGAGGGCCAAACAAAATGTCACCAGGACCACAAGGTCTTCCGCCCGGACCTCCGGGACAACCGTACCCACCTATGGGATACGCCCCTCAAGGTAGCAGCATTGTTTATCCAATAGGTTAAATCCTGCAATTTTCACCGTGCTATGTTTAAGATCGTGTTAGTCTGTATAGTACTGTAGCTATAGAATTACAGTTGGCATTGTATAGTTGCATCTGCATGCGATGCCGTGTACATTCTATCCCTTAATATATGGTATGAGTCGCATAATTGTGTTTTTTTTTTCGACGTTTTAGGTTATGGTCCAAGGCCAGGATACGGCCCGCCAGGAGCTCCAGGTTATGCACAGTATCCACGATTTCCACAGCAAGCCGGCTATCCGCCTGGTCCGCCTGGTCCCCCTGGGCCACCAGGACAAATGGCACAAATGGCTCAGATGAGCTATCACCAAGCAACGCCACCCAGTCATCCCGGTCATCATCCAGGACATCCTGGACATCCCGGTCCTGGTGGGATGATGCCACCTCCAAGTCAGTATGGTTACCCTCCGCCACGAGGAGGGCCACCGCCCCCCAATGCAACGGCTGGCGGACCGGGGGGACCTCCGCAAAGCTCTCCTAGTTCACCTCGACATCCCGGTGGTCATCCGGCTTACCTGCGCCAGCATTTACAACAAAAGATTTATGGATACTCGACTGGTGGTCCAATGGTCGGACCGCCGTTGACGATGGCAGAGGCTGGACATCCAGGTGGTCCACCTCGAGGATCTCCCTCACCCGCGCCCGATAGGTCGATGTCTCCACAGCGGGTCAATGGGCCCCCAGGTCCTCCACCGGGTGTTGTTCTTGACGGGAAGCCAGCGAGTTCTCAACCACCGTCAGCATTCGACGAGGGCAGTCAAGCCTCGAACGCGTCAGCATCATCGTCAACGGCAGATGACTCAGGCTCAAATCAGATGCCTCCATCAGCCAACAACAGCAGTAACCAGGGTGGACCGGGAAGCCGTTTGCACCCTGGAGGGCCTACACCTTCACCTCGGTCGATGTCGTCTTTTCCTGAAGAGTACGATGGAGGGGCTAACTCGAGATCCCCTGCACCTTCTCCATTGCCACCAAATCAACAGCCAGGTCAATGGCCTCCGCAGCATCCACAAGGATTTCCGGTAAGCATTTACCATTAGAAATTCTATATGCGTATCTATGAGCGAAATGCACCCCAGTCGTCGATGTACCAATAAAAAGTTAATTGTGCAGTGAATTCCATTTGGCTTATTCATACTATTTTTATTATGAATTATTTATGGCAATATATCAATGTTTCATGTACAATATTGATTGTATTAAACGTACATTATTGTCGTTTTTGTACAGCCTGCCCAATCTGGATTCCACGCCCAGAGTCCTGCGCCGCCCCCCAGCGCAGGAGCCAGTGCTGGAACACCAACAGGTGCAGCAGGAACAGCCGCAGCGGCAGTTGCAGCAGCTGCGGCAGGAGCAGCAACTAGCAGTGGAGCAACTGCAAGCGGCGCCGGCGGAACAGGAGGAGGTGGTGGAAACACAGGAGGAGGAGGAGGAGGAGGAGGAGGAGGGAGGAGGAGGAGGAGGCGGCGGCGGCGGAAGTAGTAAAGGAAACAATTCAATTCAGAAGCAGTATGAACTGGGTAGTGAGCCCGAACGCAAGGAATTTGTGGATCGACTGCTGCGGTTCAATGAAGAGAAGGGTACGGCGATCACGACCAATCCGACGATCTCGAAGCAGCCTCTCGATTTGTATCGGCTGTATGCGCTGGTGCGCGACCGCGGAGGTTTCATGGAGGTGACGAAGCAGAAAGCGTGGAAGGATATCGCGGGGCTGCTGAACGTTGGGGCATCTAGTAGTGCGGCGTACACCCTACGCAAACAGTACACGAAGCACGTCCTACCGTACGAGTGCAGGTTCGACCGGGGTAATATCGACCCTCAGCCGATCATTAATTCGCTCGAGAGTCCTGCAGCTCGCAAGAAAAAGAACGCCAATGCTGCTGTTTCGTCGCCGCAAGAACCAAATGCCAACTCGAACCCAGCGCCCCCTAGCATACCGTCCGGACCTCCTGGCCCTCCAGGCCCGCCGGGTCAGTACCACCCGGACTACCCTGCTGGGCCGGGAGGCCCTCCGCCACCTGGACACCCCCCGGTACATCCCGGAGGTCATCCCGGCCCATATCCGGGCCAGGGCTACACCGATGGAAGACCGCCCGCTGGATATCCTGCCCATCCGGGTCCCCACCCCGGCCATCCGGGTCATCCTGGAGCAATGGCGGGGCCCTACCCACCACCACAAGGCCCCCACCCAGGAGCCATGGGTGACCCCTCGCAGTACCCGCCGGGCTACCCCGGACAACATCCCGCACATCCGGGTCATCCCGGGCACCCCGGCTACCCACCACGAGGACCACCCCAGAGCAGCTATCCACATGCGCAGTCTCCACACGGCAACGGTCCTGTCCCACCATCGGATTATCCTGGCGGGCCGCCTCAAGGACCTCCACAGCAGGCAGGTCCTCCATATGGTCCGCCCGGAGCAGTAGGCGTGCCGCCAACGCACCACCAGTCGCCCCAACAGACTCCGCCCCCCGCGGCGTCCAGTCCGTTCCCGGACAAACCGCCCACGCCGCAGAGTCACCCCCAACCTCCGCAAAGTCCGGCGGCAATGATGCAGCAGCAGCAACAGCAGGCAGGCCAGAGTCGCTCGCAATCACCTGCTGTCTGCTCGCCACGTCCGGCTGGGGCTCAATCGCCACATACGAAACAGCAGCAGCAGCAGCAGCAACAGCAGCAGCAGCAGCAGCAACAACAACAGCAGCAGCAGCAGCAACAGCAGCAGCAACAACAGCAGCAGCAGCAGCAGCAAGAGGGCCCGACACCGCTTCAGGTTCCACCGTCCACGGCAAATGTCGTGCCGACTGGGCCCCCACCACCTAACGTTGCTCCACAAGGACAGCAGCCACCTCCCGTTCCGGCACCTCAGCATTACCCTGGTAAGTATAGATCCCATTTTGTTAATTAAAAAATATAATGATACAAAATATCGTTCATAGCGTTTCTGCCAGGAAGAATTTGGTATCCTGTATGTTCACAAAACTTGCGTATAACCATTGCCGGACTAAGCATACAATGTTGGTATATCACTGTTTATAGGATACCCTCCGCACGCCATTCCTGGTGGCCCGCGGCCTCAATTACAGAGTCCTGGCGGGCCCGCCGGGCCTCAAGTAGTACCGTATCCTCCTGGCATAGCGGCCATACCGCCAAGTGCCAGCCAGACGCCCCCAGATGGCCCACCGCCGAATCGTGTGACGCCGTTTGAGCCTGGGCAACAAAAGCCTCCATTTCCAGGACAGGGTCAGCCTGGCCACAATGGAATGCGAGTTTATCCGCCCCCAGGGCCAACGACGCCTACCGGTCCGTCCAACGTACAAACTCCCCCACGACCAGACTTCTACGCTAAACGACATCCTGACATTATGAAAGAACAAGGAGCATCTCATTATAATGGACCACCACAAAGCTATGGTAATACTTTGGCCCTATTTACGCAATGTCGAGAATTATGGAAAATCTCAAGTTAGTTTATAGTAGACTCCCTTTATGTAAACGTATGTACCATATAGAAAAATTATTAATTAAAAATTGTAAGAAATAATAATTACGTTAACATCCGACTTACCTTAACCCAAGCATTTCCACTAAAATCGATAATATATATTAACGGCGCCTTTATTTACAGAGCGCGGTCAGCCTCCCATGCCGGGATACCCTCCAACATCTCGGAACTCGTCAGGTCCTGCGAGTTGTCCTACTGTATCTGTGCCTGCGCCCTGGGGACCTCGACCACCATTTGCCCCGAGCTCTGGGCCCGGTACAGAGCAGCGTTGGCCAGGCCCACTACAGAATAATGCGGACTGGTTGAATACAACATCTTCACCAAACAAAATGGGTCCTATCAGTTCTCCTTTTATGGCCGGCGCTCAAATAGGTAGAGTAGGTCCACCTCAGCCGTACATGCAGCACAAAATGCCTCCACCTCCAGGGCAAATGGCGCCAGCAGCAATCGTTGCCCGAAAAGAACCACTGTTCCCGCCCGATAGCGTCGAAGCAATTCAGCCGTTAAACAATAAGCGTCGTCGCTTATTTCCAAAGGATGTAGCACCAGTGGACCCATGGCGTCTAATGATGAGTCTGAAGTCGGGACTCTTGGCCGAAAGCACATGGGCTTTAGATGTGATCCAGATTCTTATGTATGATGATAACAGCGTGCTCTACTTCGGCCTTCAGCATCTTCCAGGCTTCCTTGAAACACTTCTTGAGCACTACCGCAAGTGCCTCTCGGAGATGTTCGCCATTGCTGATGATCTGGAACTTGGCTTTGACTTTTCCAAAGAACCAGAAGAGTCGAACAAAGATAGCAGCAAACGGGAAAGGCCATGGTTTCTTCTTGAAAAGGATGTGGCGCCTAAAGACAGAGACCAAGAGTTGAAGAAGTTGAACTTCACCAAAGACGCGCCAATGCTTGACCTATCGTTCGCCAAAAAGAATTCAATGACGCAAGACGGTAAACTTGTAAAGATCAGAGAACGGATGACTCCGTCTACTTTGTTGAAGTTTCTGGAACATGGCGGAGATAATGAGACACCCGAATCGTGGGAAGACTTTAACGGAGGTTATGATCACTGGCAGAACGGTTGTGGGGAGATTACGTCACACATTGTAACGCATTTTGAAAGCGAGCGTCAGAATGTAAGGTTCTGTCGATTGCTCAAGAGCGAAAAGGAAGACGAAGACTTTGAGTGGGCGTATACACTTCACAGCGAGCAGCGTCAATTAACGTTGGGATTTGATAGGGAAAGCAAAGACAACAGCCCTGCTGCAGTAAAGAAAGAAATCGAGAGAGAGATTGATGAAGTTCTATTAAATGGGGAACTCAGTGACGAAGTTTGTGAAGCACGCAAACGTAAACGTGATCAAGATATGGACGATGAGGCCTATACTCGCGATGAACCGTCTCTTTGTACACTGACAGAACAGCAAGAGTCGTTGGCAAGGCGTACGATCATTCTGTCAACGATTTTAAGAAACCTGTCGTTTGTGCCTGGCAATGAACAAGAACTCGCGCGTCATCCTGGCACAATGGTCATTTTGGGTCGAATGCTACTCTTAAATCATAAGCACAATGCGCGCAAACCTCGGTCTGGTCATTCAAAAGAAGACTCGCTTCGAGAAGGAGCCGAAACAACGGCAAATAAAGCTGATTCCGAGAGCTGTTTTGACGATGTGAAGGAGCAAACAGCGAATACCAGTTCCACTTCAAACGGGACCAACAACGACGGCATGGAGCAGTGCTGCTCGCTCACAGCCGAAGACGAGTGGTGGTGGGAGCATTTAGCTGTATTGCGTGAGAACACGATGGTCACTCTGGCCAACATCTCGACGCACCTGGACCTTAGCATCTATGCCGAGGAGATCTCACTACCTATTACTGACGGCTTACTGCATTGGGCTGTATGTGAGTCGGCTGTCGCGCAAGATCCATTACCGGGTTGCTCGGCCGCTTCGGCGACGTCCCTTCAGCGACTGGCCGTAGAAGCGCTTTGCAAGCTATCAGTGCAGGAATCTAACGTTGATTTATTACTAGCTACACCACCTTGGCCAAGATTGGCTCGTCTGCTTGGTCAATTGTCGCGTTGGTTAGCCCGCGGCGAAGAGCAAGTTTTGCGCGAGTTCTCGGTCGTGCTACTGTCGAATTTGGCGCCCGCCGAAAGCTACGTCGCTCGAGCCATCGCCATCTCAGGCGGGACCGGTGGCGTTACGATTTCGCACCTGTTAGCCTTCGTCGAACAGGCTGAGCAATCGGCACTCAATATCGCGAACCAACAGGGCATCACTGCGTTACGGGACAATCCTGAGTTGATGGGGACTACCCTCGACATGGTGAGGCGTGCGTCAACAACACTCAAAGTGTTAGCATGTGTCCCTGATAATCGGGCGCTGTTTGTGCAACAACAACAGCGCTTGCTGACACTTGTGATGTCGCAAATTCTCGACCAGAGCGTGGCCGGCAATATTGCCGATGTGCTTTACCAGGTGGCCCAGTGCAAGACCCCACCACCTCCTGCCTTCGAGCCGAGACACAAGAGCCCAAACCCAGAGAACAGAAAGGAGGACGCCACGGACGACGCCAAGGACGCAAAAGAAACAGAGGGCGACGTAGAGGCTGTTGAGAGTGAGAAAGAGACGAAAACAAATGGTGAGCAGAATGATGAGGCTAAACAAGCTAAGGACAAAGACAACGTCAAGGAGAACGGTCGCGCCGACTCTGCTGAAAGCGACTCCCGGCCCGATGAGTCGATGGACACTACGTCAGAAAACGGTGAAGTCGCAACGAGTCCAGATAGCGTGGCTCAACTCAAGGATGCATTGGCCACGTCGAACAACAACAGTACTTCTATCCAAAAAGGGCTCAAAGAGGAGACCAGTAGCAGCAACAGCAGCAGTTCGAACAATTTCAACTCGGGCGTGACGACACCAGTGACCACAACCACCACAGCGTCATCACCAGCAACATCAGCGTCTGCCGGGCTATCCGTACCAGCTTCAGCGTCATCAACAACACCATCGGCAACTACGACCAACAACTCAACATCATCAACTTCGTCATCATCATCGGCAGCAACGACGACTACGACTACGACGACGACGACGACGACAACGACGACGACGACGACGACGATGACGACGACGACGATGACGACGACGACGACGACGACGACGACAACGACAACAACAACAACAACCGGCAGTAAAGAACCCATTCAACCAGCAACTGCGGCCGTTGCTTAATTTATTCGTCTACATAATCTATAATAATTATTGCCTAGACATACAGTTAGATAAATTGTAATATCATAAATCTTGTTCTTTTACTAGCTCGTTGAGCATAGCTACAAATACAGTCTACATTGCGGCTATTTACTATTACTGCGACAACCGGAAATGATTTGAAATGTGATTAATGCGACGACGATGATGAGCGTCCATACTAAATGGGTTTGTATTAGAAGTTGTTCGATGTTTGTGTTAGGCGACGCGGCTGCTGCTGCTGCGCTTGCTGCTGCTAATAATGATGATTATAAACGACGAATCGTGATGATGGGTCTAGGCCGCATTCTGTCAGTAGCCAACTAGCCTTCCCCCTTCCTTTCCTCTTTCTCTGGGGCATGGCGGTAGTAGGTTGCGCGATGAGTTGGGGGCAATAGTAGTTTCGGATAAAAGTCGATCGAAGTCGAGACAGAAGAAGTGATGTCGCTGACGGAGGAGACGATGATGTGGATAATGGTGACTTCGTTGCAGACCACAAAAGCGCTACAGCGGAGAAGAGACGATTAAATGGTATTTACTACTGTGTATTATTAAATAACGAAGAAAAAGATGGCGGGCAGACGGAGGGCGATCTAGTCATCATGACGCACGGCGCGCGTGTATATGATGACCGTCCATTGCCCCCATTTTAAGTCACGTGACATATTTAGGTGACTCTGTACACATTCATACCGACGATAAAGCTGGCACAAATGCTGGGGTACTGCAATGGCAGAAAATTTAAAAATGAGAATGAAACATGATATGATATAATGATTATAACAATAACGGTAAAAAGAAAACGAAGATATATATATATATATATATATATATATACATACACACACACTCTGTGTTCCACGTGTTACTCAGGTTTGGCTGCTTGCTAGGTAATTACAGAACTGGTGTATGTATGTGGGTGTGTGTGGATTGCGAAGGGACAGATGGCCACTTGTGCGCGGATCGAAGTGGCCTGTTAGGTAGATAGACGGCGAAGATGAAAGATAGCCGGATAAAAGGGGCCCACATGGCGATAGCTTGTCATTGAACGGTCCGAAAGCATTGCATGCAGGAGTGGTAGTAGTTGATTTGGTTTGTGTATATGAGAACTAGTTTGGGTGCGCTTGTTTGTGCATGTGTGTGTAGAAAGGGACGAACTGTGCGTACGTTGACGTACTGAAAACTGCGATTAAGCTGGCGGCATCGGATGCAGGTCTTTAGTCTGTTGGATATATTCCATGTAGATTATTAGTGGGACGAACTACTAAATATATATATATATATATATATATATATAACTAACCGTGTCGGCAATGACACATACTATTATCATTGTAAGGATAATTATGTATGATGATAATATAATGCGTATTGCGAATTACGATAGCGAGACGCCGATGCTCTTTGTGACCTGTTCAGAGAGTGATCCAGATATAAACCGAAGTAAAGCGGTCGCTTTACTCTGTCATAGGAACGGTTAGGCTAGTAAGTTGGGCTAAGACCTGTTGATAACGCAGCCAGCAATGACCACGCCGAAGCCGGGGGGCCTCGGTGTATTTAGGTCAGTTCAATATTGTAGACAAAGCAGCGACTTCAGACTTCTTTCGCACCTTCTCAACTTCCACACACAGTCACATTTGCTGACATTCACTAAATATTAGAATTAAAATGAGGATGATAATGCTGATGTGTTTACCTATAACGACACTCGTTGACGGAGTATAATGGTTAAGGTATCTCTGTGAGCTTCTTAACGATAGCGGAGGGCTAATTTTGATGGGGTCTGCATGCGAGTTCGCTGCCCAGGTCTTAGGGGGGTCCGGGCGTTGAATTGTGCGGCAGGCGACCCAGTTTCTAATTATAGCTATAACGGTAGAGACAAAAACGTGTAGAAATTTGGAGACGAGATTGAACGAAACACAATAAGCATTAGACAGAAACAAAAGATCATGTACGGACAATGTCTATTATGAAAGATTCAGTAAACATACCCATTGTCTTAATATTATGAGAATATTGATAACAATTATAAAAACAAATTCTTATTATAGCTATTATTATATACATGTACTCAATGATGACGACACGTATAGAATATGATAATGATATAAATGATAATAATGATGGCGCGATAATAAGCTATTACAATGAGTCTTCTGGGAAAAGCTGTGTCTCATTACAATTATTAATAGCCTTTTCAATGTCGTGTGATCACAATGATAAAGAAGATTTGGTAGCGGTGAACCGAACGGAGATGCGTTTTTCGCTTACAGAAACCCCCTCTGCGCGGCTCGCAATTACTGGACTGAACAGTGGAGCCAGCGAGCAAGAGAACGGCAAGGAACCGAAACAGAGAGGGCGCCACTGTATCAGACAGCGACTGTGTCAGCAAGGCTTGAGAGAGCAGGTTAACGAACGATTCGAAGAAATTCCAGTACGTCTGGAACTAACATGTAACAAAGAAAGTTGATCATGAAAGACACGATTATACACGATAATAACAATAATTATTATACACACACACACACACACACACACACACACACACTAGGAAACGAGGTAGTTCGGAGATGGGATAAATTCGTGGGTATAATAAACACAGTGACACAGAGGAAGAAATACAGAGACAGTATGCTAATTATATATATATATATATATATATATATATATATATATATATATATATATATAACAATAACAGTAATGCGGATCGAAAGATGGACTATAGAAGATGAAGGTAATTTTCAGAGAAGATTGCTTAGTATATAAATAATGTGTATAGTATTTTACTTTTGCTATTAAACCTCTTCTGGCAGTAGGTAGCTGTGTAATGTCTCTGTAATGTGTGTGTCTGCGTCCGCGTAATGTTAAAAAATGAAACGAAAACGGAAAGGAAAACAGAAATAGGTCAAAATCAATACACATTAAATAACAACAGCAGCAGCAGCAGCGAAAACGAGAAAAAGTCGACGGTGTCCTGCGGCTTTATGGTTTGTGAATAGTACGATGATGGATCACAATGAATCGCGGATTGATGATTTGTGAACAGACGGGAGGGAACGGGTGGGGGGTGGACGGTGGGAAGAAACGTTTGTGGATATTAATCGATGAACGACGGTAACAAGACGACTGTTGTTGATCGAGCGTCGTGGATGGCACAAGGCTTAATTATTAGTTTAGATTGGTGGATTTTGATTATCAATCGATTCATTGACGGTTTATTAATCTACGAATCAGTTCCGGAGGCGAAAATGTGTCTGTGTATCTATTGTAATCGTGACATCGCTGAGGGTAACTGGCGCGAGTCGTCTGCCAGTAAAGGGTCACTGGGGGTAGATCGCGCGCTTAGGAGAGGATGAAGCGAATCTAGACTAAAAAAGAAAGGCAGTTGTCGGATACCACAGCCGGCAGAGGAAAGAGACAAAGAGATATTTAAATGAACTGATCATGATAATGTCGATGATGATGATAATAATAATAATGATGATAATAATAATTATAATAATAATATAGTGTATCAGACAACGCAGACGGGGAGGCAGGGGGGCGAGATAGATGAACGGAAGGATGCGGGTTGAAGGACGGAGCAGTGTAGCAAGTGAATGAGTGGCTGGAAATAGTGTATAAGGCCATTCGTGTAAGGTCAGAAGGCTCATAACACACTTGAACAACAACAACAACAACAACAACAACAACAGCAACAACAACAACAACAACAAAAACTTGACGAAGCTAAACATAATGAAAAAATATGACTAAACAAACAACAAAATCGCTGTATATGGTGCAAAGTAAATGTGTACAGTAACTACAGACCGAGGAATAAATTGATAATACGTAATGAAGTTTTGTTTTAATTTGTACGCTAACATTTTGTATAGGTCTTAGTAAGTTGTTATTAGCATTCATTGGTTTCAGCTTTGCAGATCCGTCTGCAGTAAGACGTCCCAATTGTTGGTCTATTATTTTTGTATAAAACCTAGCAAAACCCATATATTAATAGTCGTTACGCTACCAAATACTACAGGCTGAACGGCAGAGGACACAGCTACTCCCACACTTTTGTTTGCGCTGCCTTTACAACAACAAACTGAGAAATGATTCTCTTCTGAGTAAAAAGCCGCTATCTGAATGGCCGTGAGAAGTGTCGGTGGCATGTACTTATGCAGGACGTGGATAGTTCGAGCGGCGATTCTCGGTTACCACGCCCAAGACAGCACGAAACAAGCAGCAATGACCAGAAACGAGTCGGCCTGAAAGATTATTTGAAGGCAAGCACGGGATAGACAATGCCTCAAGGCCCGCTCGATACCTTCAAGGAGGAGGATACCTCAGCTGGAGACCAGGATCTTTTTTCATTAAGCGTAAATATGTCATATAGTGAATTGTAACTGAGATCATTATGCAGTTTGCTGAAATGTAAGAATATAGACGTGAAGTTATCCATAGGCACGGAATTTACGGATTGTAATTGGCGATCTTCAGAGTAGGGTCATTTTAAACGTTTGATGCGATGATACAAATCAACTTCGACTTAGAACAAAGTACGATTAGTGTGAAAGAGTGAACAACTTCTGCATGGTTGAACTTGCACTTTCGAAATCTTTTGGAAATAACTATATTCGGTTCCTATGATCACGTTATTTGGACCATTTTGATAGCGTAACACAAAAAATATTATGATAAGATACATGTTGAACATAGATCGGATATTATTGAGTAGCTAGACGAAGTGTAGACGTATTCTTAAAAATATAACCGTCCTTTCATTTAAGAGCCGGCTAATGCTGAACAGAGTAGTAGAAATAATGGTCGCTCAAACAGTCTTGACTTGATATAATGCGGGCGTCCATTTCGCGGTCTGTGAGGCCTATTGCCATTTTGTATAGAAGAGATGTTTCCGTGGTCCGAATTTTAGACAGTGCCTTCGCAACCCGGACATACAGCACAAATTCGGGGGATTGCTTGAGAAATGCTTGTCTTCCTCACTGCGGCTATCTGTCTGCTGACCTTGTGAGTCTCAAGCTCGCTTTCACTGGAAGCTCGTACGATCGAGAAGGAGCTCGAAACACAAATCTGTTCATAGGCGATATTCTGACAGATTCTCTTTCCCTCTACATGATAACTGTCAAGTGCAATTGAGTATTTAACAATTCGAAACAAGAATAAACTAGGTCTTCGAGTATCTTCTCGTAAATGTTTAGCTTAGGATTGTGCGTAATTCAAGCTTGATTCATCATAATGCATGAATTTTTGCATACATCGTTGCTGGAATAACTTAGAATTAGATGAGCACCCAAAATCGGTGGGTTAAGCTAACAGAGTTTATGATGATTTGTAAAATGCACGGGGGCTACGTAAAGACAGTAGAACAATGGTGTTGTTCCCATCCTTGCATCTGACACTGCAGTCTTGATGAAGTCAACGGAGCACTAGCATGAGACAATCTATCACGAGATTAAGTTTATGGCCCACGCAAACGAGAAAAGTTATATTAAAATTTTCAAAGCACAACGGTATTATGTAATCGTTAAGTTGGCTCATGGCGAGCAACCAGCATCGATCGGCACAGGTAATGCAAGAGATTATTTAGAAGCTAACGTTAGATTAAGAAGTTAATTTGTCATTTTCTAAATATGTTAATATAACATGTCATCTTTAATTCAGTACCGATATAGTTTATTTACATGGCTCTGTAGCGGTGTGTAGACTTACCGCTTGCTCATACACGCCTATCGAACTAAATTACCGATATTTAATAACACGGCGTGCATACATCGAAACTGTGACTCACGAATACGGTTACGCTCTTAAATTCTACCTCTGACATATACACTCTGATCTTGATGACTACATCACACTACGTCCAGAACGTAGATCCGAACTATCATTCGCACTTCTAGAAGCTTGCCAGCTGCCATAATTGGTATGTATATCACTGGATGTATACCACCTCGGAAACCGGGAGCCAACTTTGTAATACTGCTGCTATGTAGTGAGCCGATCCGTCCGACAATTTACTCAGCTGAATGGGTATTATTAAGCGTTGTTTACTTTTTGCTAACACACTCCTGTTCAGCGAAAGTAACGCGTCGAAGCGTTTCTTAATTAGATGCAAAGTGTCATCATATATTGAAGCAGACATGCAGTTTTGTGGCCCATATGCCATTGCTACCGGTAAGTGCATTATCATTATGCTTTTTCACTGATTTTGAACAAATCGTAGCTAGATCACTCCATTTGTTCTGTAGTCCTTTAAGGATTCAAAAGTTTCTCTAGAGTAACAGGCAAGTCGTCAATGCTTTATTGATGAAATTTTTGATCGAAGAAGCATGCGTGAATTGAACATAGGGCGTGTAGATAGATCCTGTACGAATGCAAGGTAAACGGAACCTCGAAATAAATACCAACGTTTGTTATGTTGACGTCTTAAGCTGGCTTAACAGATGCTCGAACGGCAGGTAGTACAAATGACACCATGAGTTTCATCGAAACTGAAAATAAGATTCTGCATCAACAAACGGAACGCATTAAAGATGGAGATGTTTCCTACTTTCTGTTCGTCAGTGCTTTAAGTCTCAAAGTTGAAATCTTCTAGATTATTAGCGACGTACCTCTATCCAGATTGTCGAGGTTAACTGTATTCGAAAAAAGGCTAAGGAACGAAAAACATTATTATGCAAGCTATAATACAAAACTTAGACTTTTGTTACATATATATATATATATATATATATATATAATTTTTATCGAAATGAATTAACTTCGTTGAATTAGGTTTGAAAAAGGTATTTTTGTTTATATAGTTAATGTCTGCAGTAATAGTAGTCAGTATCGGTGTAACGTAATTTAGCAACCGCCGTATTACCGTTTCTATTTACGTCGGCAACGCGTGTAAAAGAGAGATGCAATTCGAAAGGAAGCAGAATAGTTTGCTTATTATCAGTGTAGATGTTTTCCTTAAAATGCCCTTAAGTCAAGAACTATGTAGGTATCACGCTATATTCAGCTATCTATTATGCGGAGTTTTACGTAATCTTATTATATTATAAGCATCTATTTCTTATCAGTTATCCAACTTGTCTGAGCGAAAATAATAAGGCGCTCAATTCTTACATTTCTACATAGATGAATTGAACACATTTTTTCAAAATTTAGGTGGAGAATCCGAGGCAGAAACCTTTCTTGCATGAAGGTGATAACCTACCTCGTGACAGAACTTGAACAGTCATCGCCAAACAGACAGACCTCAACTACATCGAGTACGTAAGTCCACTTAAATGCAACGCTACTATAGCGGGTGTACGATATGCACGATGCAATCGCAGCAACGTTTTTTTCGCCATAAGATATTCCTGAGAAGCCCACGTTTTACCCAAGGGAGCATTGATGATAGGGAGCAATGGGCAGTCATAATAATTCACTAGTTTGAATGCTAGCGTGGTCTTTG